TTAATAGAATGTCGTGCCAGCTTTATAGATCCGTTGTAAAAAAGGTGCTTGCGAACAGAGATGGTCCTTCATTATTTTACTGAAGGGCTTTTCAGAAGAAAAGCGTTGTGCACGAAGGATTTGCAGGATCGTTGGCTCTTAGAGCCAATTATTTCGATGCATAATAGCCGGGATAGGCTATTTGCGTTACTACGTTGTATTTTCTGATGGGTGTCATCTATTAACGGCATCTCGATGGACATTTTTAATAGATAGGCTATTAATGTTAACGCGATGTATTTTCTAACGTTGATGGATGGAGCTTTGCTCGATGATACGTGTAATGTTATCGTTCGATCGTTTTCAGGACAATCATGGAGTGATATTTTATTTGTAATAATTAATTAGCTCGCGACACTTATATACAGATTGTTTTTAATATGATTAATATCGTGTACCCGACGAAATGCATATTATATATATATATATTTATAATCGTATATACGTATTATATAAAGGAAGCAAAAAAATATTCTTTGAGATATATATATATATATATTTCGCTATATATTGTTTTTCATTATTTTATCTCTTATGATTTGAAGAACAGTTTTGACGTTAACTCATTTTCTAAAATGTTATAAAATTATTCTCGTTATGATGCGGTGATCCATGGTCTGTTAAATGGAGAAAGACTGAAAGAGAGGCTTGTTTCCAATAACTTTGTTGGACACGATGGCTAGATTCTATGTCTCCTTCGAGATTTGTGTACCACTGCGTCAAGCGCAATATACAGATTGTTAATTTTCATTGATCCTTGGAGATTACATTTGAAATATAATATACACATTATAGTGTCAGGGTAGGAATGTAAATCAACCGGATGTCATGTCATCTGCTGATGATTGCTAAAAACTTTGGCTAAAATGATCAGAATTCTTGTATCGAATTTTTCATCATATCTAAATTAAGTTTAATCAATTATCGCACATTTTCTTTCACGCTCACTTCAAAACGTTCTTTGTTAATTTTTTATTTTTATTGAATAGCTAGCGAGTCGTAGAATTTAATTTATTGTATTTTATTGGAAAAAAGTAAAGTAAGGCAAGTTTGAAGTCTTACAAAAGCAGTAGACAGCTATAAGACTTTATTAAGATGACCTACTATTAAGCTTTTCTTACTTCTTCACATTTAATATTGCTATTTCACTGAAAAAAGGAGTCTGATAATAACTATTAAATATTTAGTTAAATAATGCTAATTAAATATTTGTTTAATATAATTAAACATAATTTTACCTTTACAAATATTTAGTTAATATTACCAAATTATCAGCGGTAATACTTATTAAATATTTGTAAAGGTAAAATTATGTTTAATTATATTAACCAAAAATTTAATTAGCATTATTTAACTCTAAACATTTGATAGTTATTGCCAAACTCTTTTTTCAGTGTACTATATGTATACGTGCATTTAGTTCTTCCAGTAATCAAACTACTTTTTTCTCCTTATTACGTTATTCTTCAAACTCGTAAGAAACCGTGAAATATATCGTTAAAATTTTCTGTTTTTCATTAATACCATATCGCGTAATTCCCGTGATTGATCAACATTACTGTGATTAATCGATAAATAATTTATGATTTGAGATCAGCTAAAATACTTTATAAATATCTTATTGTAATAAGTCTTGCAGTTTTACGCTTTACACAAAATTGATAATAACGTAGAAAACTTTTCAGATAATTAATGTTGATGATAACTTGAAATTAAAATTACACAATGTAGTTTTAATTTAATAAATGAAAATTGCTGCAGGCAAGTCTCATATATATGAGTTACGACGATACCGAGAAAAGCTTACGATTGTGATAATGGTTGGTGCGATGTAATCTCTAACTAGAAGATAGAATATTAATAAATCGGAAAAATATGATTATTATACAATTATACAATAGTTGGTACAATAACTGTCTCGTAACGTATAGAATTATAGAGATGCGACAAATTGCGCTTCTTTCTTGTAAGTATATTAGTTTCCAACACTCTGCAGTTGATACAGCAATTATTCTTTCATTGTGTTTATTTCGAATTAGGATCATTGGTATTCATTTAGCAACGATTTCATTTATTTATCTATCTGCAATGCTTATTTGCGTATTCGAGATACTCTCTTTATTTCATCTCTTCAGATCATTATCATCTGCACCAATAAAACACAAATTTTCGGAACATCGAAATGTGATTACTCGGTGGAAACTTATGCGAATGAAACGTATTTTCGGGCATAAGATTCAGCTGGAAAATTCTCTGGCCCAATGCCAACGATTCCAGTCTTCGCGTTCGTCGTAACGTCGGTTCGGCTCTGTTCAAACTATTTATTCGTATACGAGATTATCTTTTTTTTTGTCATGAATATTATGAATCTGATATCCGTAATCGCGCAAGTCTTTATTAATTTTATAATAAATAAATAATTACTTTGCTTAATATAGCTTTTCGTTATACTAAATTAGCCGTATACCGTACCATCGAATTAATTAATTCGGGTTAATTAATAAATTACGCAAACAAGTTAATAAGTTTGGAACTAGAGTATATTTTAAGAATATTAAAAGAATATTTAAAAAACATTCCAATATTAAAACTATAATAAAAACAGAATATATTATATCGTGAGCCAATGATTGTCAAATAATTTAGTTTAATTTCATCATCAAGCTTCCTTTCTTTTATAAGGAGCGTCGCAATAATCTCTATTTCTATCCCTTGCTCAAATAGAGAATGATGGAGCTCGAATGTATGATCCGTTCGTAAATTAGCTCATATAGTGACCTTACCATTTGAATTGTAGAAAGAGATTCACCGGTAGTAGAGATTAGCGTAGATATCTAGCCTCGTCTCTTCTCGCAAATAGCGTTTTACTTTTTACACTACGTATCACACTACGTTGAATTACGTATCTATTTCATTATTTTTATCATTATAGAATATACAATTGCGTATTATTCGGGACGAGTAAAAGTGTTTTCGCAAACTCACATTGTATTCACTTAAATGTTTAAAATTTTATATATGGATTTAAGAACGAGTATAATATATGATGCAATATATTATACTTAACATAACAAACGCATATGTGGGATCCTTTAACAATATACTTATAATTGAACGCAAACAATCATTTATATATCGTTATTTGCCACGTGCAATGTGATTACGAGATATTAACTCTCAAATGGAACAATATAGGTCATTCCATGTCCATGTCATTTCTAATACTTCTTATTTATCGTATTCTGTGCGCCTGGCTACAAAATATCTTTATGGTGGAGAAAATATAGGGAAGTAACGACGATACAGGACTTCTGTGTGTTGTCAAGCAGTGCAATCATAAAGTTGAAAATCTGAAAATGACATTTTCATACATTCAAATAATTGCACATTTTCTGCATCTGGCCTCTGCAATATTTATATTATATCTATACTAAAACATCCTACAATAGTTTTTTTTTATACGCATATAATAAAGTTACAATTTTTCTATCCAAACTGAATTATTTTCTTTTTCTGGTGCAGAAAATAATTTTCATAATTTTTCTAAACTTTTTTCCCAATGTCTACACATAGCAGAATAATTTAATAAAAATTTTAAAGAATATATGTGAAATTTTTATAGAATTTTTATGAGACACTTCAAGAGCCTTAAAATCGAGTCTGACACAACATGACTCATGTGTTTCGTTCGAAAGTGTTGAAAATAAGAGTGCCGCTGCAACTGGATTAAGAATCGTAATCGCAATGTGAAATATCTTCGTGAAACTGACTGCGACATCATACATCTTATGTGTATACGTTAACGACCGTACGACACTAGTGGTCAAAACATGCTCGACAAATCACGATCGAGAAAACAGTGCGTCGAACGTATCGCATGCTATGTCTATTATAGCATCAAGTTACAGAGTTAAAGCTTTCTAGTGATCTTTATCGTGACGTGTAAAATGTAAATTTTAGATAAAGACGAAATGGTCTTTGAGTGAACGAACGAATGAATGAACGAGCGTTCTTAAGCCCGATCTACACAGGACGTAGAAGGCGAATCGTAAGTCGCAAGACTAGAAACTAATTTAATGTATTTTAATTATAACAGGTTGCAAGATGCAGAACGAAGGGCGAATGGAGTTGAGCAAGCTGCAACTTTCGCGACCTGCGTCCTATTACGTATTGCGATCTGCGACCTATTATAATCTAAAATACGTATACGTTTCACTTGCGACTTGCGAATTGTGTGCTACGTCTGCGTACTATATCGGGCTTTAGCTAGGTCTCAGTAATACCTTGGTTATACAAGTCGTAATACGTCGAATTAAATAAGTCGCTATTAAATACTCACAAGTGTACATCACACTTGCGACTCGCGTGGCTAATCAGCCAAGGTCTATTACGCCTTCTTATACCCTTACTTATACCGGATTATTTGACTACACAATGTACCTTATTATCCATTTAAAAACATACTAATACGTTTATATGTGTATATAACAAGTCGCTTTTCTTATCAAACACGTATATCGCGGTGCAAGTATATAAATATTAGACAACCTGCAAAATTTCTTACAAGCAAATCGTTGTTTAGTTAATTAGAAAAACGTAAGAAAGATTAATTATTTAAAGTAAGAAATTAATTACAAATATAAAATTACGCTTACATTACATGTATACACGAAAATACGATACACGACGACAATGTCGAATGAGGTTTAGAATGAGAACGAGGAACGTGAACGCAATAAGAAAGAGGAGTTTTTTTTTCTCGACGAAAGAGAATCGCCTGAGTTGCGGTGACGATCGATCATCCGAATGACTAGACTTTGAAGGCGAGAGATGGATCACGTTGATTCTTTTTTCCAGTAACGACAAGACGATAGTGGGAGCTAAAGTTGATCACGAGGATAACAGCTGGCAGGAAGCTGAGGTTACCGAGGTGTCACCACGCGTCACGCCGGGGTGGTGGGTCTATGGGGGGCTCCGCCCCAGCGGTCCCCCGGCTCGAGTCCAACCGGCAATTGCCGGAACGGTGGTGGCATCCTGGCGCGGGCCAAGACCGCCCCGCTTCCGGTACCACCGTCCAAACGGATGAAGAGTCCTTCCAACATCATGAGGCAGTCCAGCCTCACGAAACTCGGTTCCATGATCAACACCGCCGTCAACAAACGTGCCGGTGAGTTTTTGTCTCTAAGTACATATATTGTATAGTTGAGCGTTTTCTCTTGAGATACGCAAAACTCAAGTTTTTCTCATTTGCAACATTTACCGAGGTGTTATATTTGTAAAGAAGTTCCTCTCCTCAATTTCCTTTGATATAATCTGTTTTTCTAAATCTAAAAAGTCCGAGATGTAGATTCGTAATATTCGTATGCCTGTAAAATAGGAAAACGGAAAGTACAAGTTACTTGTCATTTACTTTCAGTTTCAACTCGAAACGCGGCACATGTTTTTCGTGTGCAACGCGACGCGACGTCTATTCACTTGGGTAAACGCATACATCATTCCAAGACGGTGAATCTTTTCCTTCCCTAGGCGCGTTGCCGCGCGTGGTTGCGTCGGATTACGTCAAATGAACAAAGTATAAATTCCTATCATAGATACAGAATTTTGCGAAGTTTCTCTCAATTTTAGGATTTCGCGTCATTAAAAATTCACGGTATGATGATTTCAATTTTATTCCGAAATTTCGATCGTATTCGCTAATGTACTTCGATAAGATCATAAATTGAAGTAGAATCGTCGGTGCTTCGTATAATAATAAGTTGCGGTAATCCAGAGTAAGAGTAACACTTTGGGATAATTCGAGTGATTCGAACTTCCTATAATAAAAAAACTATAACATATTATTTCGCGCGTTTGTCTTTCGTGCGTAAACACATTTTTTAAATGTTTATACACTCGTAGGCAAAAAAACGGGTCACTAAATTTTAGCACAATTAAATTTTTAATATTTTCAAACAGCGATAATTTAGTGAAAAATCATCGTAGCGAGATGTTTGAAAAAGCATTTTAAAGCTTGAAATCTCTACTTTTCAGAACGGTACTTAAAAAACGATCGACTACTGATATTATGTGAAGTTACACAAATATAAATGAAGATGCACAAAATCTAAAAAATTTTTTACGAAGTTTGCAAAGTTTCACGGCGCCAATTAAAAATTGCGCACAAATGGGGTTTACAGCAGCTTTCGAAAGAGTGAATCTTTACCTTTAATTTTTTACTGAGCTCTGTACGATTTTTTTTTTCACCGAATTATTCAACGATCCTTTTTGCTCCAACGTTGAATAACTTCGTGAAATAAAATCGTACAGAGGTGGATAGAAGAGCAAATTAAAGGTAAAGATTCAGTCTTTCGAAAGCTGTAAATCGCATTTGTGCACAATTTTTAATTCGCGTCGTGGAACTTCTCAAATTTCTTAAAAAATTTGGAGGTTTGACGTATCTTCACTTATGTTTGTATAATTTCACATAATATCAGTTCGGCTGTCTTTTTAAGTACCGATCTGAAAAGTAGATTTCAAGCTTTAAAATACATTTTTAAATATCTCGCTACGATGATTTTTTACTGAGTTATCGCTGTTTGAAAGTATTAAGAATTTGTGCTAAAATTTAGTAGCCCATCTTTTTTTTGCCTGTGAGTATATAATGCTTGATAGAAAGTATTACTTATACCACACAATAGTATTATAATTGAATCGTCTTTTCTTTTGTTATTTGAATTCTTTATCAGAGAAACTACATTGCGCTTTAATCGACCGAATTCAACGCGTTTCTTTCTTCGTCGAGTTGGCTTTTGATCTGTAAAGTAAACCTACATTACTTTTCTGTCACTCTGTACCGACGAAGATTTGTCCACATTAAATAACAAGATCTTAATTAACAATACATTTCCAATCTATATAACTTTTAAACGCTTGTTCTGAAATAATTTGGAGCTTTCTCTTTTCATTGTGTGCTGCAACCTCTCTTACAAAGATGATGCTTTCCGTCCTGAGGAACTGTACGTCGTGCTTACAATCTAATAAAAAATTCGAATCGATTGCTTTTATGTATATTATAGATTATGTGAATACTTGATACTCTTTTTTAATTTAACAGATCACTTTCACTCGACTTAAGCATACGTATACTATACACATTTAATAACATAGTTTATTTCTCTATTACTTCTTTTTCTCTCTTAGATTACTGGCTTGTATTATAGCTTTTATCAGCTTTTCTTCTTCTTTTACAAATTATTTGTCATGTACGTAGTATGCCTGATATATTTATGGAGTCTATTAATAAAATATAAGAAATGAAAGTATTTGTAAGTCTTACTTATCAGAGTATACATATATATATTTGAGAAGCTAGAGAGATCGCGGCTTTCATATTTGGCGGCCAATTCGTAAATACTCTCAAGATTGACATTGCGCGAGAAGAACCCAGTTTTGTCACAAAACTCGTTACGGTTGTTCTGCAAGAAAACTCGCGAGTGTCGCGGTTGTCGCGATTGTTGTAATTATCGCGTTGCGACAAGGTAAACATTGCCGATGATACACAAAGATATATTCGCCAGATCGCGTGCGTGTTGGAAGAAAGGCCGTCGCTGTCGAATCGAACGAAAATATGGTTCGTTTCTCGCAGCAGAAGGAAGAGACGAACGCGAAAGGCGTTTGCGCTGACCACAATTATTTCTGTGAGTAGATATACCGACTTAAGATCATTAGGCTTGCGAGCGATTTCCAATTAGCTGATATTCCAACGTGTCCACGCTGATGTTCGAAAAGCTGAAAGAAGCGACATGCTACTGCAAAAGTTTTACATCCTAAATTTTAAGCGCAATTCGCAAATCTCATACACAGACGTGCTGTAAACCAAACCCCTTTCGAATTATACATTGTTTTAGACAATTTATATGACGTGCGCGAGATACGATCGCGGTAGGCGGCTGTTGAAAATTCCAGCGGAGATGCAATCTCGTTAGTACGAGCGTATTAACGTAGCGACTCTAATACGTTCGACAAAGCCGAGCTTCGTCGCTTGTCCTAGCTTCGCGCACCTCGGTACCACTTTGAGATAGTCTCGAGAATCGCGCCTCCCGTGACTCTCGTTCCGTTCGCGAAAAAGGTCCTACCGCGTCGAATTCATTGTGAAACCGTTCTCGAATGCACCAACTATGGATAAATCGCAGAAGCAGAGTGATTAGTCTTTCTGATTTCCAATTAAAAATGGATCGATCGAAAATCCGAGCCTCTAGGGCATTGCTGCGTTTGCAAACAAGTACGAATTCACCGCTGTTTTCCTCCCTCGAAGAGTTACACGACAAATTAACGGAGCTCTTAGGTAAATTCTCCTTTAATTCATCTCATCGTTGTTGAGAATGGACATTTTTTTTAAATTTTAAATATTCATAGCCTGATCTCTACTTTAACGAATCGTTAAATATCCTCTTCAGTCGTGAAACGACCTCTCTCCTTGGAGCTAATGTTGCCGATGGTAGTGTGCTAATAAAAATATCACGTATATAATCATGTCGCGAATACGCTAAGCCACTCCACGTAACACACTTTTGCAAAATTATCTTTGTTTTGACGGGTATCGTTTGTTATTGCGTCAACAGGTCGTTCGCGATTAAGAGTCATTCTCCTTGGCCTATTACATTATTATGTACGATCGGAAACATAACGGTTCCTCGTCAAAAATATCGAAATTTTTTGCAAAAATAATTCCCCTCTCTGTGTGAAAGTATAGTTTTAATATATATCTTGAACAATTAAAATGCACAACTCCTTGTTACACGCTGTTAAGACATTTTGACAATGGATGAAAAGAATCGATTTTTTTTTTCTTCAGAGAGCTGTCTAATTAAATAGCGGCGCTGTATATGTGATTATGAGTACAAGCAAGATGAGCTATTGGCTGTTTTATCTTCTTTGCGAATGCAAAGAGACGAAACGTTCTAGGAAGTGCATTATAATAGAAAATAAATGTGCATCTCTCTCCCACATTAATACTTTTATAAAAGTGCAGTCATTTCGAAATGTTTACATCTCGTGTTGAAAGCTTGAAAGTTAGAACGTCTACTCAATCCTCAAGTCCCTCTAAGCTCCTCTAAAGAATCTCCATCAATAGATTCGTAACATAAGTCGTCATCGAGAGACAATTTTTTCATTTCGATAAATTGCGTTATTTACAGCAACGCGTGCTGTAACTTACGGCATCATTTTTGTGTTTTATCCGATACTGTAGTGGGACACTTGATATACCGATCGTAAATAACGAAACGTATCCGTCCGTGCAGAGAAAAGGTAGATAATTTTCAAAGTTGCCGCGTAGCGTGGCGTCGCGGTGCGTCGCGCGTTCCCGGCCGTCCTCGTCTAATCTCGGGAGGATATTCGCATGGCGCAGACTCTACGGCACCTCTCTGCGCGTCGTCGAGCTGCGCGCATCGCGCATCGCGTGCAAAAGATGGTGGGTTCTGGTTACCGCGGAGAGCGGAGCCAAGCGGAGCCGCGGAAGTAGCGAAAAGCGAAACCTGGGGGCGCAGTGACGTCACGCCATAGTCGCGCACAGCCGTGTTGTGTGCAGTATAATGCGCCTGTGAGAACTTCCGCCATTGAGAGGCAGAGCCGCGTTAACGCCGAGAGCGCTTTTACGGGCACGGTGGTTAGCCGGAAATATGTGACAGAGGATCGGTGGCGCACCGGTCCGGATCTAACTCGCGCGATCTCGCGTGTTCCCTCACGTATAGCGAACGATCTCCTCGTCGCCGGCGTGGTGCCGCGTGCGCGCGCGCGCGCTCGGACGTGTCCCCCCCGAGGGCCATCCATCACTTGGAGTTGAGGCCCCGTATCGAAGCAACGCGCTCGGCACTCTCCGCCGCGTCGTCCAGTTTCCACGAGTTTCCTCGTGTGTCGTGTCTCGAGATGGCCGGTAAGTAGTGGCTCCAGTCCAGTCCAGCTACCGCGATTAAGCCGGCGCAATACCGCGCGTATCTCCGCGCCGCCAACGACGCGCGACGGCTACGGCGCGTTGCTGCTCCTGTTCCTCTGCTAGGCGCCTCGCCTCCTCGCCTCTTCGCCCATCTTCGCCTCCTCGCTTTGCTGCAGCGAGGTGAACCTTGACCCAGATTAGGGTCGCGCGCTCGAGTGTCCTCGTCCTCTCGCTGTGTTTCTCTTCGCGTAATAGCGTATCATTTGCGCGCCCGTACTCGCTCCGGATTCTCCTCGTGCGCGTGGAGGGGGGGGGGGGATAGATACCTATGTGCCCGTCGCCGGTGACGGCGACAACAATAGCGGCGGCGGCGACGACGGCGACGGCGGTGGCGGCGGCGTCGACGGCGGCGACGGTGGTGGTGGCGGTGGCGGCGGCAGCGGCGACGGCGGCGGCGGTGGTGGTGGTGGTGGCGACGACGGCGGCCTAGAAAACACGATGGATTACGCCGAAACTTCAAGTAGGCTCACTTTTCTCTCTTTCTCTCTCTCTCTCTCTCTCTCCCCCCGCCTCGTCTATTCCGCACTCTCCGCAATTGTATCAATTTTCGTGCGACCTACGCAGGAGGACTTTGTACCGGCCATCTTCACCCGTTTCCCCTCTCATTTCTCTCCTCTCTATTGTTCAGTCTTGTACAGTGTTTTTCCCGAGTTACTCGAACCGAGAGACCAATTTCTCCAACTTTTCCAACAAATGATTTCTTTACTTGTTCCTTGTTTGTAGACACATCTACCTTTCGAGTTCAAAGTAGAACCTCACAATTTTGATATTGTTTTTTTTTGTGAGACTCTGGGGAACACCATCAACGGTGAATTAAATTGAGAAACGCTACCATGATGGTGATAATGATGATGATAATGATAATAATGATGATGATGATGATGCGATGCATTCGTTTGTGTTCCATGCCACTGATGCACAGCAGTAGTATCCTAGGATAGCAACTATTTGGCTTTGTTTCTTTCAACTTGATATGCAATAACACCTGTGCTATTTATCTTTGTCTCTCTCCTTTCCTTGCTTCAAGTCATGCATCTACTTTGTACATGTGTGTGTGTGTAAATGTTTTTAATTTCATCAAAGGCTCTACGAAATAATGAATTATGCTACTTTTTTCCATTTCTTGCTATTACGTCCGATTTGGTATTTGGAATATGGCTTCGTATACATACAATACAAAGATATTAACAAGTTATGTTTTATACTACTTTTGATTTCTTTATATTGGTTGTATAAATTGAATGTTTCCATGCCCATATAGCTTGTTTTCTGTGCGTAAACATTTCAACCTTAAAGAGTTTTCTTAAACTCAAGTTTCTATGTATAAATATTAGAATTATGTGTATTATGCAACATCTTTCATTTTCCACTTCTATTTCTTTCCGTTTATTTGTTACGATTTCAAAACTGATCTTGACTAAAACGCACTAATTTCTCTGATTAAGACACAAAATCGACCGATTATTCCAAAATGTAATTATTATTACCATTTGCTAAATTACATCAATATCTGAGACAAATGAGCAATGACAGGAAGATACTTCATTTTTAAATCGCTATATATTTATTATATTACAGGCAATGGTGACATACAGTGGTGTTTTTCACAAGTAAAAGGGACCTTAGAAGACGACGTTACAGAAGGCAAGTTTGACCTGTGTTTGCATAGTTTCAGAAAAAGAGAGAGAGGGCAAGACGTCTTGTCTTTTATCTTATCAGTTTAAACATACTAAATTAAAACAAACTAGTCGCGACTTTGCATATGCATCAAGATCCAAAATTTATCTCACATAGTACACACAAATTCATTCTTTTAGTTTACCGTTCATTAATACGTGATTATGTCAAGGTTTTGTAAGTTTTGTAATATACTTTACGAAATCATTTATAAATATGAGTATTATGTTTTTTATTACAGCTGATATAATCTCATGCGTTGAATTTAATCACGATGGTGATCTCCTGGCGACAGGAGACAAGGGTGGACGCGTTGTCATTTTTCAAAGAGACCCTATTGTAAGTGTAGTTGTGATTATGCAATTTAAAAGAGATAGACGAATTTCAAATAAATATTACCTTTTTAAAATATATATTATTCAAACAATCCAATTATCACACTTAACGATTAATAATTATGTATTCACACATATCTATATAAATGTGTGTGTGTGTGTGTGTGTGTGTGTGTGTGTGTATCTACATTTTGCATGCTCTAATTTGTGACGAATTAATATATTATTATATGACGCATCTTATACTATATTAAATGTAAAAATGCATTTGATGTTAAGAAAGAGTAGTTCTCACATTTTTACAAGGTTTTGTATTATCATCTTACTTGCAAATTGATCTTAGAGATCTGGCTTATGTATTTCTGTTACATTAAAACTTAAGTAACATTTAATAATCTAATATCTGTTTAATCTTCTATATTGAGTCAAATAACTCTTCACTAATTGTAAGTGTATTAAAAATATTGTGTTTGAGAGCTTATAATGCTTATATCATGGTATTAGTTATAAAGATTAGATGGGCTTTATAAGATTAGATACTTTCAAGCGTGATATTCGGATTGTTACAACTAAATTTATCAGGTTAAGATATCTTTATGTATGTGTAAAACTAATGTTTAGTGATTAACGAATTATGAAAATAATTGTTTGCACAGAGTAAAAACAGTATACCACGAAGAGGCGAATACAATGTGTATAGCACTTTCCAGAGCCACGAACCAGAGTTCGATTACCTAAAATCATTAGAAATAGAAGAAAAAATTAATAAAATTAGATGGTTAAAAAGAAAGAATCCTGCCCACTTTTTACTCTCCACGAATGATAAAACAATTAAATTGTGGAAGGTTAGTGAGAGAGATAAAAGAGTGGAAGGATATAATACAAAAGAGGAGAATGGCACGATACGTGATCCTGCCTGCATCACTGCCTTGAGGGTAAGAGATTCTGAATATAATTTATTCTAAATTTGTTACATACCGTTGCAAATATGTAATTTTTAATTATGAAATATAAATATGAGATAATTATACAAAATTTTACATTTATTATTATTATTTAATTATACAAAATGTTTGATATGTATGTGTTACCACATTGCATAGGTGCCAACCATAAAACCAATGGAGTTGATGGTAGAGGCATCACCAAGGAGAATATTTGCCAATGCGCACACCTATCACATAAACAGTATAAGTGTCAACAGTGATCAAGAGACATACCTCAGTGCTGATGATCTTAGAATTAATCTTTGGCACCTTGAGATAACTGACCAGAGTTTTAGTATCCTTTTTTTCTTTATAATCACGCGCATTAGTTTTCTTTTTTTTTTTTTTTTTACAAAAGATTATATTTCTTTTGCGTTATTCTGAAATTAATTTTTACAGATATATAATTAGCTTAAATATAACAAAGGTTTTCAGATATATAATTTTCCTAACCATAGCCTACAGATATAGTAGATATTAAGCCAACTAATATGGAAGAGTTAACGGAAGTTATAACTGCGGCGGAATTTCATCCTGCAGAATGTAACGTGTTGGTGTACAGCAGTAGCAAAGGAACTATTAGACTTTGCGATATGAGATCTGCTGCTCTCTGCGATCAGCACAGCAAGCTCTTCGAGGAGCCTGAAGATCCAACTAATAGGAGTTTTTTCTCAGAAATTATTTCAAGCATAAGCGATGTAAAGCTCAGTAATTCTGGAAGATATATGATCAGTAGAGACTACCTCAGCGTGAAAGTGTGGGACTTACAAATGGAAACAAAACCAATCGAATGTTATCCTGTAAGTTTGTATATATTTATAAAAAAAAGCGATATATATTTCTTATAAAGACGAAACTTAATATGCCATCGTTGTATAAATTTTCTATTTTTTCTGTTACAACCTTTTGTTTCATTCGGGATAAAGCTTCCTACTTTATTGTAAGATCGTACTGTATACATGTACAGCTGTTCTCACAACTTTATATAATTTTTTTGTTACAACAGGTACACGAATACTTAAGATCAAAATTATGTTCATTGTATGAAAATGACTGCATTTTTGACAAATTTGAATGTTGTTGGAGTGGTAATGATTCTGCAATTATGACGGGCTCATACAACAATTTCTTCAGAGTATTTGATCGTACGACTAAACGCGATCTTACTTTAGAGGCAGCACGCGACATTGCCAAACCAAAAACGCTTCTAAAGCCAAGAAAGGTTAGTACATTTTGTGAGATCTTTTGTTTTATTCATAAGAGTTATCGTCGAGTATTGTGTATTGTGTGTGTGTGTGTGTGTGTATATATATATATATATATATATCGACTCCAAATTTTTATACTTTCGAATACTTATGCTTACATGCGATTACATAGGTATGCACCGGTGGTAAACGCAAGAAGGATGAAATTAGTGTCGACTGTCTGGACTTTAATAAGAAAATACTTCACACTGCATGGCATCCATCTGAAAATGTGGTGGCTGTCGCTGCTACGAACAATCTCTTCCTATTCCAAGACAAACTTTAGCATATCTGTATGCAAGTATGTGAATAAAATTTCAATTGAATATTAGCCAGAGAGAATCAGAGGTGTCGGAAATTATTATAAAAATTGTAATGCTCGTATGATTCGTATGTAACATAAACTGATTTTCTCTAGATTATACAACGGTATATATTGACGTGAGCTAGGCACGTTGAACTGAAAACTCCCAGTGGAACCACGGGTGTCTGAGTAATAGTGACGATAGTCGACTACTAGTCTGTCAGTGGTTGACTGACCGAGGAGTGGTGTACGTAGCGCCGTCCACGCAGCTCACATTCATACATGCTATATACACATAGAGACATACAAGGATTGTGCACTCCATACATTGTCGCGTGCATATGTGTATGTGAAAAGAGATGTGCAAATACGAAACACACGCATAACTTCAGGCTATCAATAAATTCGCTAGCTCAAATATATTCGCAGATGAAAAAGAAACGTACGCATTCGGCAGAACATGTGATTCAACCAATTTGCAGACTCGTGTTGGCAGTTGATATATGACTTATAAATACTAATGATTAGTAATTTGTTGCATGTATTATAAAAATTGTGCCATCGCACAGTGTAGTCTATATGTGACTTATCTACGCTATAGACTACCAGGGTATTTGATTATCGCATTGATGAACAGGCGATGTGAGTAGAGCGGGCGTACGGATTACGAGTCGCTCGCTGCGGTTTATGTACAATTTATATAAATACGTGGTACAAACTTTAAGTTTTCCTTAACTGATATGTCTAATTAGCGTGAAAAAAGGAACAAAAAAAAACGAGAGAGAGGTCAGCCGTGCCAATGAGCAAAATCTGTAACTATTGTATTGACGTAATTTTATTTATTGTTACGCGGCATTTAAATTATGAACTTGAATTATAAAAAAACATGCATTAGTTATTGAAGTAAATTTTCCTCCTATAAATACTTTTGCAATTAATAATCGACTCGTATGTTGCTGACCTCGATGTAAGAATACAGAGTAAGTAAATAAGATTTATGAATATATATAGTTTCGTGCTTGTAGAATTGAAATACTTACAGTTACCACTATGAAGGAGTTCGCCTTTTGGTAAAATAACCTGTGTCTACATTATTTGTTTATCATTTGCGATTTGGTACCACACTTGTTAAACGCGCATGCGCGTAGGCCTATTTTCCCGTTGTATTCTCGCGAATTGTTTGTCACAGTCGCCAATACGAGTCAAAATGATAGATAGTATGATATATATAAACCGGAACATTTCCTTATATTACATATATCTGGAAAAACCAAATATTGCTGCACTAAACATACATACATCAAGCAATAAGTGGCGCCGATTTAAGACAATGTGTATAATAAAATATCAAGTGTCATTTTCTAAAAAAAATCGTATGCCCCGATCGGGAGATAAACGAAAATCGCATAGATACAGAGTACAGATTTTCTAATCTTTCTTAATAATTTATCGACACTCTTATACTCCTACAGATATAAGCAGCAATTTCGTACATGGATAAAATAAACCTAAAAGTGCATTTGTGACGATGGTAAGCTGGGCTTGCAGAGTTTATATAGAAATAAAATATTTGCTGAATAATGTACACCAGCATAATGTAACTTTGATAAATATCCAAGTCGGAAAACAAAGTGTTCATGTTTTTAACTCACACGCATTTTCTATCATCTTTTTACCATTTAATTTCCTTTTGTATACATGTATACGTCGATTAATTATGCTGCGACATTTATTATATTCTAAACCATCAAGCATTGATATATATATATATATATATATATATTATATATATGTATATGTGTGTGTATGTATACATATATATATGTGTATATATAATATCGATGTGTACAATATGCAAAACATTGATCTTGATATTAACAAAATGTATAATATGATATTGACGCGAAAAGAGTAACATATGTATATCGGCAATTTAATAAAATAATGTAACATGACGCACATAACAAAAAATAGAAATAATGAAAAATGAATCGACATATACGAACCATGTTCTATATGCTTCAGCTTGTTTTCAATGTCAAATCTGAAAATAATCCTATATATATGTGAGAGAGTTGGAGGTTAACGCGTTAAATTGTGTATGCTTTTTAATCTATATTCAAATTTCACAATTATTTGTATATTTTTTATAAGATAGTTGGAATCATTTACAATAGAGATTTTTATTAAAAGATCTTTATTTTTTTAAGAGAAGAAAGATAGAAAAATACTTTTTATCGAGGTGAATGTCATATTACATACGACTAGCAAACGTTTTCTTTACGTTGCGTGTGAGTTTGAAATATGAATTGTAATATGTGCGTGTGTGAGTATATATGTATGTATATATATACATCAGGGTTGATAAAGCTAATGTGTTTTTTTTTTTTAAGAATGAAACATTGTTTCTTTTTAAACATGTTTTTGATGTTTCAAAAATACGTTTTAAACTATTTAAAACATGTTTTTTACCAATCGTGATATATATATGTATATATGTGTGTATATAAATATACACATATATTACACACACACAATATAAATCTATTTCTAAAACAAACTATTAGCATGAAAAAAACTGCTTCGTGATAACGTAAGAATAAAGTTGCAGATTTATATAGACAAGATTAAAATATAATGAAAAAATATATGCACATGGAATGTAATTTTTTATGGTAATAAAAATAACGCGCGAATGCTTCTTCATTGGACGAATTGCTTGGACGATCATCGATCTATAAAAATACGTGAAGTTTAATATTAATAAGTTTGATGTACAAATCATTTTGGAATATTGAAAAAAGTAATTTTTAGGACTCTTAATTGTCGATTTTGTGGGAATGTGAGTGGAAACAAAATGAGAGTGAATAGTTTTTTAAAAAAGGATAATGCTACGATCGGATTATGTCTCTCTAAGATTGATCTGATAAAATTCATAATTAAGATCGTGTTTTTAAAAATAATATTGACAATTTCTTTAGAAGTCTCTGCATAATTAATGGACAATTGAAATGTCACAAGACGTGTGGAAAAAATCGTTTGAATCATATTTCGAATCGATTCATTATTCATTTTAAGCGATTTCATTTAGGTATCGTTTAAGTTACGATGACAAAGACTCTTTGGATACCTTGTGCGCTGTTCCCAGAGCCAATAAATTGCGTATTATTACGTTTCTTGTAACTCAGTGTTCTTCTTTAATTCCTTGATACGATCGAATAAAAATATACAGTATATTGGATGTAAATACCCTTGTAAGACGTATTTACAAATGTGTACGAAATTGTGTGATCTTCATGATACATACTTATAATGTATATACATACATTATTGAATTTATTAGGCGATCAAGATGGAAAAATATGGCACGATAAGTACATCGATATGAGCGCGGTCTTTGGGACCGCAGCGGCTCCAATGACGAAAACAGTATTAACTACTCCACGAATCTCGCGAATGCGGCGTTGTTTTACAATGTCAATTGAACATGCGTTACAATCGCGTTCGTGAAACGGGATGAGATTTTTTTAAATCAACATGGTGCTGATTATTATAACAGGATTAACAGGAATTTTGGGGAGGCATGCAAGACCTACCTCTATGTGATAACTGATAACAGAGCTGTTATATAGAAGAAGATTCTATTTTTATTAACACCGTTATATGTACAATCTGAATATGTATCATTTTTTTATAGCAAACAAACGATCGAGTCGGGACGAGGTTTTTCAAGTGCAACACGCGTGCATCTTTTAAGAGAGAAGAGAAAGAATACTACTGATATATTGATCTTATGTAAAAGAGAGGACAAAACTGCGAAAACGCGCGTCATCGACAGCACGAGACATTTATACGTTACATCGATGTATAACATAACGTGACAGAAAGAAAGAAGAATAGAGAAGAACAATAAATTATACTGTACGTATAAGTACAAATCGTGTCTTCGTTTTACGATTCTCCCTAGCATACTGTCTCTCGAAAGACTCATTGCATTTCGTGGCATCGCAATTCTTATGAAAAAGGGAACAAGACAAGTATAAGAGATGATAGCTCCTACTACAAGAAGCAAAAGCTCTCTGCGGCGATCGATCGTCAAATCTCGCTGTCGCGCTCGTCTCTTCGCTCCTCATAATTCCTTCTTCCTCCTAATCAATAAAAAATAATTTTAAAAAAAAATTTTTTTCGACAACCAGTCAAACGGGTAAAGAGTTGATGACAATGAAATGAGGTGAAAGGAGGCTATACAAATAAAGGAATTATAATATACAAAATGGTCCAATCTGTTTATGTAGTCACGGTCAGTGAGAGATGTGAAAAAGACGCAAATGAGAGACACACGAAGGAACGAGAACATGGTGAGTATCGACACCCTCGTGACCTCGAGGCTGTCCCTCGTCGATTCGCGTTCAATTCGAGTTATTCGGTGTCAAGTTATTGCGATCATTGTCGGCGATCGCCAAGTCATTGCAGTTTTTGCAGTCCGCTGCGATGCGACGAAACGTGACCTGCGGTTTGACTTCTCTCATCGACCGTTGACCGTTGGTAAGTTGTTTCACTCGTCTATTGCGAATCGACTTCTCTCTCTCTCTCTCTCCCCCCCCCCCGCTCTCGTCTCTCTCCCGCAACTTTTTCGGTGGAAGAGGCATGCTTTTGTCCGCGATAATTCTTAGATTTTCACAACCAGATTCGACAATAATCCAAACTATCGAAAATAGGAGCAGTGAGCGCTCGTTGCTCCTCACTCTCATTATTATTTCGTTTTTCAACGGTATACAAAGGTTATATATTAGTGGTATTCGCCTCGTTTATACTCATCTCTTATTGTTTGCTCTATATTCCACTATTATCATATTTATAATATTGAGTCAACACGAGCTAACGATTTTCTTTCTATTCGTTTAAATGTAACGCGTCGTTCAGATGCATATACTATATGTATGTGACAACTGGAAAATTTATTGTGATCCTGTTTTTACGCGACCAAACAATGACATTTTAATATTAAACTTATCCAGCGGAAATCAAGTTGATTTTTATGATATAAAACGATGTGCGATATTTGAAAAGTTTTGATTCTCGGATCAGAGTAGAAGCGATAATGTAAACTCGTTTACAAAATAAATATGAAAATATATGTATATTACAGTAGACAAAGAGAGAGGAGACTAGGACGTGGCGCTGGAAAATTGAAGAGGGGAAGAACGAGAGGGGAGCGAGAGCGAGCAAACGCGAATGAGAATGTCATGATATGGTAATAATAATGATAGAGTTTTAATATGTTTTTAAATGGATTTCAATCGTGACGGGATCAATTTTGTGCAATCTAAACTAATCAAAGATACAATTACTACCATGTATTTGATGTACAGTGTGATATGTGTAATGTTTTGACAGATATTATAACCTAAAATTACTACATGTATCAAACATTAGATTTGCATTGCTGCAGCAGACAAATTTTTAGTATAATTTTCAGTACGATTCTGCATACATTCACATATTTCATATACAAATTGGTCAAACTTGGGAGAAATTGGTGAAAAGTATACTTGGAAAACTTCTTTTTCTATTTTTTATTTGAAGATATCTTTGTAGATTAATATAAATAGTATTAACCCTCCTAGAAAGTCGAATGTGACCCCCGGCTTCGTCAGTTTTATAGAGTCCATATTCTGTTTGACAGAGAAATAAATTTTATGATATATTTGTTTACTGCTTGTTATCCATTTTGTTATATTGATTAAATGAATTATCAACAAAACAACATTGGGTTGAATCTAATCCTACTTTTCTGACTATCTTGAAAATTCATTTTGATTCTGTTGAGGAGTAATTATAGATTTTACTATAGGGAGGGTTAATTTATAATTGTTACTTTATATATATAGGTCTGGCCTTTGTACGATTCCATAAAAGAATGCTGCTTCCACATTTATTAAAGTCAAGGCGCATGTAAAACGTCTTCCTGTAATTTTTTCTCAAACGGCACTAGCAAGATGGACATTTCAATACGGGAAAGAATTCTCAGCTTTGCTGATGTTGTAATGAGAGTGCCACCTTTATTCATCATTGACGAATTACTCAGAATTGGCCTTGGTTTTCCTAATGACAATATTGTAATACTGGAAAGTAATGAATATGGCTTTAAAACTACCAATTTATCAAGCATCGCTAGTTCCATTTCTACAGTTACAACAGACTCGTTTCTAATGGATCAGCTCGATTTTACTCATCTTGTTTACAAGGCTTACCTAATAATCATATTTAAATTTTTATGTTGTTGTGTAGGTAAGTAGTATACTTTACTATTCTTTACAATTTCAGTAAATTTTTTGAGCAAATTAGATTTCTTTTCAAGGAAAAAGCCTGTAGTCAAGTTAATTCGGCAAATTGCTTTTTGCATTCAAGATATATGTAAATCCTACCGTAATAAAGAATATTATTTCATTAAAATCTTTTGCAATATTAATTTAAACAAATAAATTAATGTTGTATTTTTTTTTCAGGTTTTCTTGCAGCCTTATACACATTCATGTTGTGTACTAGACATTTGATAATTGTATACTTATATTTAATATCTGTAGGAGTAATATTTGTATCATACTGGTCAAATGTTAGTACAATGAAAGCAATCATAGCTTACATGAGTGTCCACGAATCAACAACCAGCATACTTGACAATATATTATGTCTAAATTTATCGGATGTTCTATACAATGGTCCGGGTTTTCTAATTATCCAGAATTATATACTGCAATGTCTGCTAGCCAGCGTCTTTTGTTACATACATCTTGCCCCAAGACATCCTATAATTCAAAAGCTTCTTGTACTGAGCTTTATGTCACCATCCATCTTGGGTATCCATCCTTTACCGGTAAGTTTATCAAATATATCCATCGTTATTTTGTTTATTCTTAGTACAAGGAAGAGTTGGAAAGCAGCGAGTATTAATATTTTTAAACAATTCATAATTAAGTAAAAAAAATTTTTTCCTAGACGCAATATCTATATCACGCACCAGTGTGCGCAACGTTAATCCCATTGGCTGTGTGCAAATTTGTCATCTGGTATAATGGCGTCAACATATTAAAAACAATGTACATGGGCTATCGACACGCACGCAACTTTATAATCAATTACGGTTTATCCGCTCTCGCGGAAACAGAATGGATGCGCTTGAATGTGCCATGCGTACTTCGTACGTTTTGGATGCTGCGTATGGGAGAACAAGTCGTTCAAATTCTTGGGAATCACTACGGCGAGGAAACATTTAATTATTACGTCATGATCAGAACGCTGTTGGTAAATGGATGCGAGACATTGACAGCTGTTCTTGGTATGACCAGCATAATCTCATTCATCTGTCACTATATCGGCTGCTTCTTCCAATGGATATTATTGACAGAAGACGAAGATGAAAAGAGTATCGGCACGGTGTCCGCTATACTATTCTACATTCTTGCTCTACAAACAGGATTGACGAGTCTTGATAGAGAGAAGCGTCTAGTACGACTATATCGTAATTTTTGCCTATTATTTACGGCGATTTTACATTTTGTGCACAATATAGTGAATCCACTATTGATGTCGCTCAGTGCTTCTCATAATCCAGCACTACATAGACATTTACGAGCTTTGGCGGTCTGTGCTTTTCTAATATTCTTCCCGATATCGTTACTTGTGTTCCTCTGGTCCCATTTCTCCGTGAGTACATGGTTATTGGCTGTATCGGTTTTCAGCATCGAGGTAATAGTCAAAGTGCTGGTCTCACTAGCAATTTATTCGTTGTTTCTAATTGATGCATACAGAAGCACATTCTGGGAACAATTTGACGATTGTGTGTACGTAATAAGATCGTTTGGCAATACTGTAGAATTCGCTTTTGGCATTATATTGTTTTTTAACGGTTTCTGGATATTGATCTTCGAGTCTGGTGGAGCTATTCGTGCCATCATGATGTGTATACACGCTTACTTTAATATCTGGTGCGAAGCGAAGGCTGGATGGAGCGTTTTTATGAAACGCCGGACGGCTGTGAATAAGATCAATTCTTTACCGGAAGCAAAAGTCGAACAACTTGAACAGTTAGACGATGTTTGTGCAATTTGCTATCAAGAAATGCGAAGCGCCAAGATCACCCAATGCAATCATTATTTCCATGGTGTATGCTTGCGGAAATGGTTATACGTTCAAGATCGATGTCCTCTTTGCCATGACATACTGTATAAAGTTGAAAGCGTCCAAAACAGAGACATAGTTCTGGTTGAAGAAAACGGCAGAAACGACATTGAAGATGATGTAGTTGTGCAAACTAGACAGAATTCAAATGTTCAATCTCGTCAAAATCATCATAGACAATTGGACGAGCATTCGAATGAAGGGAGATGAAATGACGTGGCTCTTCACGCATATTTTGTGATATGATGTAGATAGACACTAATTTTTTTAATACTAATTTTGATCGCAGAACACCAGAACATTCGTGGAATCTAGCTTGAAAATTTCGCTCGTTTGTATTATATTACTTCAACTCGATTATTGGACAGCACAGTTATAAATCATTTACATTGGAAATTATCATGTAAGAACTTGAGTCTTTTCCTTCAATTTCTTGTAAAATCTTTTAAATAACTAAATTGCAACAATTATTCTTAGAAAAAAAAAAAAACAATTTCATGTGACGATTGTTCTGTACTAAGAAAGTACTCGGCGTATAGTTTCGAAACTTTAGCTATTTACCGATTCAATAGATATCCACTATTGTGACTATTAAATGTATTTTTGGATCATTGTTTTGCTACAATCGTCGTATACAGCGTAATGTAATCCATAATGATATACAAGCTTCCATATACATGCTATGTGCTTCCATCTCTCAATCATGATACACCATGATGTACTGATATATTAATTTTCTATTGAGTTAAATGAAAAGGGAAGAAGAGGAAAATAGAAAAGTTGTTTCTATCTGGGAGAGGAAAGAGAGGAAGGGAAAGACATGATTGTACAAGGCTTATAAAACATTTAATGACAGAGTTTAAAACTTTAATTTTACGACACATTTTATGATACCTGTCATTATTATTAGGCTGAAAGATAGTTCTGTACATTTCAAGTGCTGACTGATATTGAGTATACGTAACTATAAAGAAGAGTGGAGCGAATTAATTCTCTTCAAACTTTCGAGAGTGATAGTTTTTGTCTATACTAAATCGATCGTAATTGATTGTATAATTTGCAAATAAAATTCTACTAAATTGTTTCTAAAATAAAAATATTACAGTGTAAACTAAAATCGCAAAATGACTATTAATGTTTGAAAAAAAAAAACTATAACTACAATGCCTCGTCAGTATATTTAACTTTAATATATGCTCAAAATTTTAATATGGAAAATTATTGATTTCATTTAATCTTATGTTAACTTGTACTTGAAAAAACAATTTGCAATTTAATGATATATCGAATAGATTGTTTTCTAAATTCAGATATTTTAATTTGGTTATTTATTTATATGGAAGTGTGTGATAGATAGGGACAACTGTAATCTACTTGACATATAATGAGATTATACACACACACACACATGTATATATGTATGTATAATTATGTCGAATGTGAAAAAGCATAAAATATGACTTTATTTCTCTGATTTTAATTGCAACTTTGATGAATTACTCCTTGTTCTTATTCTATTGAATATTCTTTATTATAAAGTTTCTTTTTATTGAATATATATATATATACATATATATATATAAAAGATAGTATTTTTCTATATATTATATCTATTATATACGAAGATCCCTTTTCATATATAAAAGATTAATAAGAAAATTAAAAATGTCCGATTTACTTTTTATTACATATTTAATTATTAACGACTCTTATATGATTCTTCATTAAGAGACTAGTATAAATTTATTAAGAGATTCTGTAAGAGTTTACAACATGTTTAGAGTATGTTGAATAAAATATTGTATTTTTAAAAACTTGATAATTTTTCTTTTTTTTTCAGTCTTTTGAGTCGAATCCTACGATCCTCATCAGCTATATTTTTCTATAAACTTTTATATTTCTTGGTAATTTCTGAAAAACGAACGGAAAAAAGCGATTTATCGAAAGCGTTTTTTATTTGTGACCGTTCGCTGTTGGTTTATTCTTTTAGATCACTCAATTAGAATTTTAGATCTAGAAGAATACATTAATAGCAGCAAGCGCTCACTCAATTGTTGTGTCTGCCGAACGTAGCCAATGTCACTGCAGCTGCACTTGATCCTATAGATTTTACGTGTGTAGAAAATTATGCGTTATATGTATACCTTGATGCGATCAGAGTAACAAATGACGGTGAAGGTACTGGGTCAAGGATGGATTATCACGTGAGCCCACGCGTGCCAGTTCTACACTAGTTGATAAATTCGCGCGAAAATACATATTCTTGGAAATTGTAACATGTATTTTACACTACAATAAACTGCAAAATTTGATCGTTATCCTCTTGATTACTATATGCTAGCTGGAAGAGAGAAAGGGGGGGAAAAGAAAAAGATATTACAGACTGACACAGTACATTTTCTATATATCGAATGTGTAAAAATAGCATTTATGAAAACTATTATCAAATATATACGCCTTGTTTTGAAATTCCAGAGAAAGAGAGGAACTTTTCTGATAACGATGATATAACGAATTTTTATGTACAATCCTCAATTATGTTTCTTAGACTTTATATATCAGCTTGGCACTGCTTCGCATTGCGTGCTTATAGAATCGCGTTGCCAATATTTTATAAAACAGTTATATGTAATATATATATATATATATATAGTTTATTTTCTACGCGCGCGCGCGCATATGTGTGTAGAAAAGTTTCGCTTCCCTCTCTACATGCCTTGTGTTTTACATCATGCTGTATTTAGCTGAAAGTCAGTCGCGTGCGTATCGTCGTCGAATACGGATCTTCCATTCTCCATTCGTTCTCCGTTCGTTCTTCGGTTAACTCAGACACATTCGGTAAGCCAATCTGTCTTGAAACACCCTGCATCTTTTAACGTCATTAGCGTGCCTGTGTCGTCTCAGATCAAACAGGTATACATAATACTTGTAGTTGTTTTACTACACTTAACATTTCTGCTAGAATTATAACTCAATCTTCCGTTTGGAATTGATGAGCGTTTTGCACTTGGCAAGTTTCTCAAACGAATTGTCCAAAGAATCGAATTAAAGGAAAGTTGAGTTTTCGCGAGTGAAAAGCTACACGAATCCGACAAGTTTGATTGATGAACACATGTATATGTTTCACGCGCGTGCAACGCACACTATACACGATTATTTCGATGATCGATATCCTTCCAAAAATATTGGCCACTTGCTGTTGTTCCATTGTCGATTGATGATTCAACACGTTTTTGTACGTCGAGAGAGAATAGTCAATAGAGGACTTTAAAGCAAAAATGTATTGTTCAGGTCACAGCGGTTTTCTGTCGTTTACCGTTTTTGAATGCAGGTCGTGTGCGCGAGATAGTACCGAGATTGCGTACAACGTACGGAAAGAATATTGTCTTAGCTGGTCGTATCTTTCCAATAACGTACTATATTTATATTGATAGAGACATCTATTAATTATATCGATTAATTATATTTATATTAATAAAGATATCGATTAATAAATTTTATATAGATAGATAAACTTCAATTTAATCCCAGTTCAACTTATACCTTTTATCTTTCTCTAATAATTCTTAGAACTAGAAGAAAATAAAAAGTTAGTTTGACCATAGATTAAAATTAAATTGCGTTGATAAAAACGGGCGTAAATCAGCTTCGTCATATCCGAGTTTTCCTCGATTCGTTTTTTATTTGAATGAAGCGTGATATTGTATTAAGTTTCACGCGCGCCATATCGTTGTAGCTGGAAAAAAGTGGGAATAGCGAGATTATGGAAATCTAGGACGAGAGCTCTTTTTTTATTTTCTCACCGATATCCGCGAACAGGGACATTTTTTGCTAACGTATGTTCCGATTAGTTTCTACGTAGAGGAAAGCATGCCTCTGTACGAGTGCAATGTGGTGAGAATGGCACGAACGCCAATCGATATTTGAGCAACAAAAACGAAAATGAACGATGTTATTTCACGGATTTTTATACCGGAATACGATTATCGCCCGCGAGTGCTAATTGCAAGAAAATCTAGGCAACTGATGTCAGAACTGTATTCTCCCGATCGTTATATATTCCAATATTTTTTCAAAGATCTCGATCTGTATATCTCTATATAGTTTTCTTTTTATATTTTATACACATACGAAGGTTTTATTAGATTTTACCATTTGAGAAAGATTTCAAATGAAATTTGATATAGAATTACGCGTAAGAAAATTCAAGCATAACCAAGAATGTAATTTCAACCAAATCCGCCTCACATTTATCAATATTTTGATTGTATAACAATTGCGATTTAATATATGCGTCAACGGAGTGACGAGACCTCCAAAGAGATCATGCAACATATCCTTGCGTTCATTTCTTTATTTCGTAGGTAGTTATTAATAAAAGCGTCCTCGCGCGTCGCGTCGCGTCGCGTCGCCCTACAAAATGTTATTACGCCGTTTCTTTCCGTGCGGCGAGTGTCCCACGATCTGCGATTGACCGCTCGGCTAAGATACCATAGTAGTTCGTGCTACTGAGACTCGGCTGTCTCGCGAGATTCTAGATTTTCTCGCTAATTAAATCACCTGACGATTATTGCGCTTCGTCATTCTACTGCGCCGAGAGAGAAAAATCGCACGTCGAACGTGAAAACTTTTCTTGCTGCAAACTGTTCTCTACTGAAATTAATTTATTTCAATTTGTTTGGAGGATGAGAGAGAGAGAGAGAGGGGGGGGGAAGCCACATTTACTAGATCTATCCTTGTTCAACATGGAATAGTCGACCATTTTCCATCTTCGTAGAATCGAGAGACGCATGTTGCATGACAAAAGTCATTATCTTAATATCTTCAGAACCGCCGCGAGTTAAACATGTAGTTGGAAATCGATGCGATTTGGCAAAACATCCCTGGCAACCAATAAGAAAAAAATCGATTTATTATATTCGTAGAATTGTAGAACTTGTTTAGTAAAACTCGTCTTCCATAATTGGCTGACTCTTCTGCCAGAGTATAATTTTACGCGTTTTTCTCTCTTTCTCTCGAATTTTCGAAAATTGAATTATAGCTAATATATAGGGATACACTGAAAATAAATCTACCGAATTTTATTAAATATTTTGTTTGAATAATACTAACGAAATATTTACTTACAGCAAATAAAGATTTATTTAAATTAAAAAAATTATACTTAAATTAAATAAATATGTTTACTTTTAGTAAATATTTTGCTAGTACTATTCAATAAATTAAAAAAATTTGTTTAGTGTATGTAACCTCAAACAGCACAGAATATTTATGTTAAATATATTCATAAATATTTATCATTTTTTATTTTTTCAAATATTATATTATTAAATATTATATTTTAGTAAATATTTTACACGTATTTTAATAATATTAATAAGCTTTATTTGAAAACGTTATTAAAATGTAGACTAAATATTTAATTTAATATTTATAACATAGAAAAATATTATGTCTTTACTAAGTATTTTTATAGCATTTACTACAATTTATACGATAAATACAATATTTTATAATTTTTATAATAAATATCTATATGATCTGTGCAATCTAAGAGACCACAAAAAGTTTACAAAATATTAAAAATAAATCTTACAAATATTTAGTAAATATTGTGCTGTCTGGAGACACAAATATCGTGGTTCGATTGCAAAATTAAGGTTGAAGCGATCTGTGCACGCGAAAACGCAGGAAATGAAAGAAAGGAAAGTTTTGATACGCGGTATCAACTCGATCGACCCGTGTGAAGCTGGCCCCCCAATATTAAAAAATCGATTTTTTTCTTCATGCATTCGTTTGCTCATCGTTTGCTCACAAATCTTTTGAACTAAAAGAGTGAGCAAATTTTCAATTTTTCTTTCTTTTCTTCGTCTGTGCTTAGCCGATATGGCGCATCATATCCGTTCCATTATCGCGAGCGCATCTAGGATTGTCTATAACTGTAGATATCGGTTAATAATAAAGTCAAGCAGATCTGAATGGTAAATGAATATGAACAAGAAAAATTCAAGTTCGAAAGACATCAAATGAAATTATTTGCCTTTATAAACCGATACTGGATAACAATATGAAATAAATGTATTCATTAAAACAATGACAATGTATACGTTTCGACTTTTCGTTCGGGTCTTCTTCAGTATGTTAATAATACAAAAAATTAACTGTCTAATATATGTAATATATGTAAATAGTAGATGAACATGATCGATCAAAAATGTATTCTCTGCTGTGAATTGTTCGATTGTATGTATGTACATACTTACAATATACGTTTGATGTAATACTTGCGACTGTGTAGTTTATGACGATTGTACTGCAAGAGCCATAAAGAAGCTGAGGAGGCGAGAGGCAATTTGAGAGGAGATGAGGAAGCGAAGCTTGATCTCTAACTCCGTTTAGATCGTTGAAAGAGAGTCTCACACATACATTATGACCTTCTTTTTACGCGAGTATCAAGTCGGTCGGCTGCACTCGATATCCGACAGACTTTTCCCACGTTAAGTTGACATCCAAAATGGTAATTCTGATCGATCCCTCGACTTCCCTTGCCTTAAACAGCACGCTCCCATCGTTGGCAATCGTCGATCAATCGAGTTCGAACTCAGCCGCTGTACATAACTTAGGTCTGTTCCCGGTAACGAGTAAACGCTTTAGGATGATTGGATACAAATGAAAAAAAAGGACAAAGTCTTTATCATTTAAATACATACATGTGTGCAAATCTAATCAAAAGCTATCCGACGAGAATAATCGATTGTGATTAATAATCGATTGAAAATTGCCGAACGGCATCATGGCACGTCCACGTCACGATCCGATTGTCACGAGTCAACAACAAAAGCTTGCAAAATGTCAACTTGCCTCGACGAGTCCGAAGAGTTAAAAGAACCCAGCAAAATCTCGGGGTCACGTCGCGTTCAACATTCGGATTTATCGCGTTTAAAGCTCCTGATACGTCCGATGACTCACGACATTTTTGGGAATGTGGAATTGAAACGACTCTAGTATTTGCAGTCATACATGCAGTTACTTTATACGCGCACTAGCATTTGGAGAGCTCGTTCTTATTATATATATATATATATATATAAAATATATGTAGAATTTTACATATGTCAGCAATATTATATTAAATCGTAAATCAGTGCGCTTCTTCCTGTGCGTGTGCACCTTGATGTACCGTTACATAAAATTTGCAGCGAGACTTCCTGCCTCTCAGTAGTCCAACACAATGAGAGACGTGACGTCATTTCGGGGATATGTCTCTGCAATTACCCCAATATACCGTCCGTGCCGCCGTACGATTGGTTGACCTGGTTGAAGACAATTTACGGGTAATCATCTTCTGTTTGCGTCTATCCTAGTAAATATCACTTTACGTTACGATTACGCGCAGTCGGTGTCTTATATATGTTGATGAAATTAGCACTTTTCGAAAAGGATTCCCACTGCCACGAAAAGAAACACAATGTTCATACACTTGCTCGTGTGGGACGAGTGTTACTCGAACGAGTTTCTTGGGGAGCTATTGGCTGCGGTGTTCGACAACACTACCTATTGCCAATACGTGATTCTCGTGGTACCTCCCCGAGTTGAACCGGGTGATCGTTTATTTATCAAGTCACTCGTCGATTCTGCTTTAAATTTTTTACATCGGAAGAGTGATGTTTATATCTTGACTTGTATTCCCAATAGTGCATTTGAGCGTGTTTGAGCAAGAGATGACTAAAGTCTTGGCTAAAACTGCCGTACGAGACGTCGCGCAGCAATTTCTATATCTGATCGATCGACATCGATTACGTCCAAAGTTGAAAATACGGAGAGTCGTGTGAGTCGATTTCATTTGTGATTAATCCCAAACAACACAACCAAAGTCCAAAACCGAGACGTACGTCTTTAGCGTATAAAAGACATCTTACGCCTTAATTTTGGACTGTGTTGTCTGAGATACTTTCTTTCTACATCTGTATTCAACTCTGTATCTATTATGTATACAGAGAGGAAGATAACGACAACGTGATTGCGATTGTCGACGGTGAGGGTACTCATCTCAAGGAGCTTTATGGAGAGTATTGTATTAGTGAGATGATTCGTCGTCCGAGTAATTGTCGCCAATTAATCATCGGAGAAGATATCAATGGCTTGGCAGTAGGCATCATGTGTCTCAATGCTATGATTGACATCGATCTACTTAATGAGAATTTTGAATTAACGCCGTACAATGGTTTGAAAAAATCGCGGGGAAATACTCCGCCCGCTCGTGTCGGTGAATGTAACGAGACGATGCAATCCCGACCCATTCATCATGTTTTTCCGACGCCGAATGGCGAAATAAATGCTTTCGTTCTGGAGATGTTTGCGACGCGTGATGAAATGAGGCCTCACTGGTCCCACGATTTCTTGGAGGCTGCTTTCGATTGCTTCCCACATTTAGAGTACTGTGCGACTCTTCTTCGTTTCTCACATCCGTGCCATCAATTCCTTCAACATTTTGTGGTAAAGTCTATAAATTTACTAGTCAGATATTTCGGTTACTCTTGAATGTATAGTGTCCCGAATTTAAATGATCAAACTTTGAAAACATATAGGGAATTGATAAACTAAGAGAAAAAGTTGTTTAGTGATATACTCGTTTTTGCTTTATTTTTAAGAAAATCATAAAAAAAGGTAAAGTTTTCTCGGAATATTATTGTATACAAAATAGAATATTACTATTTTCGTGTATGACTTGAACGATAATACGAGTACGTTTCTTCAGAGACAGTACAGAGCATGTGCGCCGATTTCTAGATGACAGAAAGGCGCGACAAGTCATTACGTTGACCAGATCATTTAGCAGCAATATGAACTGTCCAAGATGTAATTGCTGCAAGAAGCCAATATTTTTAACAATCTGCATTAAGCAAGTGACAATTAGACAGTGAATAAATAAATAATAAATAATACAAAAATGAAAACTATACATTTTATCTTTTTTGCGATTTTCTCCAAAACAAAGTAAAATGTTACGAGTGTATCTCTAAAGAACTTCTTTTTACATTAGTTTATTAATTTCTTCTATATACAAATATAAGCTGACTAAATTTAGTCATTAAATTCGGAACATCCTGTATAAGGAAAAGAGAACTTTAGAAGCACTTCTTTATAACTTCAATCAATAATAAGAAAAATAAAAAATGAAAAATGCAGCGCGTACCGTTGAGATGTAATAGAGATTTCCCCATGACGCTGTACATTCTGCACCGAGCGGTTCTTCGCGAGGAGATAACGTGTCGCCATGCCCGAACACAAGACCGTGAAGCTATAGAGAGACTCTTGTTTACCACATCGACAAAACGTGAAGTCCTAATTGATTTTGATGTTGCCATGGATCCACTACAGGCTTTACAGCGTGATTTAAATTGTTTCGTCTTTGAAAGTAACGATACAATACTAGGGCTCGCTATACTGTGGTTATTACGTGTATTCCCTTGTAGTTTTTATATCGTGAAAGATATTCCAAATATCCAAATGTTTCCTTCATTTTATGTTGTAGCGCCGAGAGGCAAGTAAATTTCGTTAAGAATCATTTCCATATAGAGGATTACGTATCTGTGGAGAGTATCCCACAAAACGATTACAGACGTCTCTTGCATTTTGTTCTTATGCCAATTTTTTCCACTTATCATCGCTTCTTCTTCCGCGAGATCGCACGTTTAAGCGAGTTAACGATAATCTTTTATCGACTTCATCACAAAGATGAGACCACATTGGTAAGCTGTAACAGTAGTACGATAACAATAGTTGTGTTTTTAGCAAGAGCACTTGTGCCAAATTTCATCCCATTATCCAACAAAATTATATATTATATATTATAAATGGAAGTTAAAACTGTTTAATCGGTAGGAAAATTATTAGAACCTAATTATCATCGTGTACGTTACTCGTAGACGTGGATATGTCCTTTGATATCCTGTTTGAACGATATGATTCCTGTTGATCCCCGTGGACAAGCTAAGTATGAATTTCCGATTGTTCGGGAAAACTCTAATAGCTGTGAAAATAATACAAAAGGTGAAAGGGATGATGTTGCGTACAATGGATTTTCTCTATTTATGACATCGCCGAGACTAGTAACGATGCCACGTACAATTATCGATAGCAGGATCGTTGTCGTTGGAGCATCGGACTGCGGAATCGCTTTCGCGGAGTATCTGACTTTACGGTAAAATGTTTTCAACTATAACACCTGCAGTAGGTTGCATGTCGATGATACGAAACTTACTAAACGATACGTTTTTTCATACGATAATATAATGTTTTAAAAATATTTAACTATATGTATTATCAATATTGAATTCTGTAGATTAACGCAGCGATATACACAACTGACAAACCTTACGTTAATATCGCCGCATGGTATACCATTTGATAACGAATCGAGTCGTTCAGACTTGCTTCCATTCCGAGGAAGGTTTCACTCGGGATATCGTCGCTGTATAGTCGCACGGACTTGGCTTAATATCATCTATGGAACTATGACAGCGATCAACAGGTGATCTTAGATGCATTGATAGATATACTTTCTATCAACAATTTTAATAATTCGAGTTAATCCAGCAATGTTGACAAGATGATAATCGATTCTTTTGCAATATATCTCATGTTCAAATTTCGTTACATTAGAAAGGAGAAATATGTGACTGTGATGAATCAAGGAAATTTCGCGTACGATTATTTGGTCTTAACGTGCGGCTTACAGTATCAAAACTCGACATTATGGGAGAAAATCAAAATGCAAAAGCAAAAGCAAGAGTAAAGATTGTTTATAATGTATCATATGTATAGTATAAAAATAAACAATATGTATAGTATATGTATACATAATAACATCTCGTCCGTAATATAAATCACTCCGAACATCTCATTGTCCGATGCAAGAGAGTATAAGTGTAAGTTACACGTTATATTTATTTTTCAAGAGGAAACAAAGTACAAGACCAAATGCCATGGAATTGTCTGACCGTAAATAACGATGCGGAAGCTTCCAGTTGCTTCAGAAAGATTCGATGGTTAACAGGGGACTTCAAAGAAAGGAGTAGGTGCATGCAGCGATCATTACTTTATATTGTTTTAATACATTGTTTCAATATTTAATTTTTTAACTCTACAGAAGCGATATTTCTTTACGGACGTAGTATCGATTGCTATTGTACACTCAGTGGTTTAATCAAGCTCGGGGTAAAGCCTTCGTGGATTACGTTGATTGAACCGAACTCTGCCAAGTCCTGCGAAACGAGCAATCAAGCTCTTTTTCACGATTGTGAAGTATGATTATTATATATCATGATAAAATAATTCGTATTATTACGATGAAAGAGATAATATAGTGCGTTTACCTATCTAAGGTGAACAAAGAGGTGACAAATGCCATTTTACAAAGAGGAGTTCAAATTTTTTCCGAATGGACCATGGTCGATTGGACTCTGATGGAAAACGATGATGCAAAGCTCATGATTGAAAATATTACGATTGAAAAAGAAGAAGAAAAGAAAGAATTGACTTGTGATGTTTTTTTCAACTTCTACGAGAAAACGATCGATTTAAACGCATTTTTAGGTAAAGGACACTTGAGAATACAACATCCTACTAATTTTTAATTCATTTTTAATTATGTTTAAAGTCGCATTTGACGGATATCGAAAATTGAATCTCTCTCTCTCTCTCTCTCACATAATTAAGTAATAAAAATCTTATTAGACCGTTATATGTGATAACAACTAATAAGAAAATAGGAATTAAAGGCTATAACGGTCGAAGCTGGATATTATGATACTGAATTCAATGTGAATTTATATACATATACTATATATGTACAAACATATAGGTACAGTGACGTGTAAAAGTTTCTGGCCAGTGACATTTTGTATTTTAATTTACATATTAAAAAAACCTGATAAAATTTTAATCATTATCGGGTGTTAGTACAAAATGTTATTGGACGGAAAATATTGCACGTCACTGGATACCATATTTGTATTCATATTATATTCATTTTAAACTGCGCGAAATTTTATCGGACTTACAAAACGCAGTTAAACTACTGAGATAATATCAATATTAAATTTTTATGCTCAAGCATGTCTTAAAGAAATCTTATAATATGCTGAAATCTGTAAATAAATCTCACGTAATTTGTAACGTTTCAGCGTTTTGTCGAGCTGGTCTCATTTTCGATGATTCATTAGTAATAGATCTGGAATGTCGCACCAACGATCCGTTTATTTTTGCCGCTGGTACCGTGACGAAATATTCCCGAAAATTTTACGCCGACGTCTGGCAGCACAAATATTACAATAGCATGGAAGTTGGAGAGAGAGTTAGTAGAAAAGACATTCTTTTTTTAAAGAGAATGTATAGTAGTATCTTTTTCAATCAAACTCCTCTTTTTTAAACTAAACTTTATCCTTTTGTTGTCAAACTCGTAATACATTTGCATTTCTTTCCTTCGCCGTGCATTGGAAGCTCGCTCAAATTTTATGGAAAGTGATCGAGTGGGACGTGATAATTCCGGAGCGAAAAAAAAAAGAGAGGATCATGCATTTGACACCGTCGACATTTCGTACACCTATCGTAACCGCTTGCATTCTGCCAGGTGATTATCATTACTTGCACGTATGTAAACCCGGGAAAACGACTTGGGATAACACAACGAAGATCAATCACAACCATTACGTGAGTTATCCATTAAATCGATTTCTGCATCGAAATGCAAATAACATTTTATTTGAAGAGCCTCTTCGTTATGGCTTTCTTTCTTTTTCTTTCGATCTGTATAAGACGTAAATCGTTGAATTAATATTGATTTTTTTTCATGCAGGGAAAAGTATTTGTAACTGGTTCTTGCAAATCTGAAATTGGATATTTTCGCATTCGATTGAATATGTACGACACTGTGGAAAGTATAACGTGTGTAAACAAAGAGGTAGTTCCAAAACTCATTAAACAAACAATATCCAGCGATTTCTTTAGAGAAAATTTTATGTGTCGCGATATTCATCTTGCGATTCGAAACAGATGCTATTGTCTCAATGTACACTTAAATGACAATTGTTTTTCAGACATTTCGAGTGCACGACATGATTGTTTTATATGGGAAACACGAGAGCATGTTAAACGAGCTAAAATTCCGTTTTCGAGTAAGCGCCTAACCGACGATATAGTATCGAAATATTAAAAAGCTACTGCACATATTTTAGGGTTTCGTGTAAATGTCTTGGCTTTTTAAAATAATTTCTCCTCAGAATTCGGAAATCTCAGATTTCTACGCGTATTTTCGCGAACCTTGGGCCGCGGTGATTCTCCACGATAGATTCGATTGTCTGCGCGTCGAAAATCGAGCTACTTTGCTGTCGCGAGCGGTAAGACGGCCGCTTGTATTTCAATATCGTATAATACGAATGTCGATATTTATTCTAACAATAAGTATATTTTCTCGGCATACAGGACATTCACGATAATTCTTTGGTCGACGATTGCATTGATACGTTAATTAAGTCAAAGTGGAAAACGGTGAGTAATTTTACTTACGAGTTTATGAAGATGTCGCGAATGTATGATCCTTCCGAGAATAAGGATTAGATATCGATTAATAATAACGACGTGAATGAAAAAGCTCAAAACTCTTTGCGCAGATATCTGAAGAGGATCGAAATTACATCGAATCTAGATACGCTGGCTCGGCTTATCATCAAGAATTAGAGAATAATCTTATGAATTTTCTCGAGTTTTACGAGAATGATCTACCTATGTATTGTACTTTGCGTAAACAGCGCCAGATGTATATGGACATTGCGGAAAGTCCGTTATATTTTGACCAATAAAACATTTTTTGCAAATTCTCTTGATGAAGAGAAAAAGAGGGCTAAAAAGAATTAACGTTCAATTAATTAAATTATCTCCTCCTCCTTTCTCTTTCTGATATAAAAACGAAAAAAATGAAAAGTACACTTTAGGCTTGTTGTACAATTTAAAACTGCTGACAGTGAAAAGTATCTTCGCGTCAATGCTAGCTGTAAAATGAGTAGATATAAAAATCTTTATATAATTAAACGCTAAAGCAAATTTCTCGATTTCATTGAGCTACGATTACGCACACTACGGTGGCTGCGTGTGAATCGATGCAAACGTTTCTGAATTAGAATCAAAGCCACGCATTCAATATAGTTATGCTCGATAAACGACTTCCTCGACATCTATCTACTTTTGGCACGCAATTCTATTCGTAGGTCAAGTTTAACATTTCACCAAGTTGTTTCATAACAGTGCGGCGGCCCAAAGCGATTTGCAAAGCCTGACGTCTGAATTACAGTCATGAGATGTTTAGGAAAGAATCGCGAATCATGAGAAAATTCTTTAGGTGGCTCTAGAGATCCTTTAGGTACAGGTCGGCTAAAGTTTCGGCATGATGTTGTGAAACCGGAAATAACATGATTTCGGAAATGCGCGCGAAATAGTATCTCTAGGTGGCTCCAAAAAGTTGATGGCATTTTAATAAATTCATTTTTGTAATTGCATCTTACATATATTTCCTTCTATACCAAGTACTTAAATGCTGTCAATTTCACTGTTACGAAATATCAAAGAAACGCGCGGATAGATATATATGCGTATAATCATTATATAAAGGCTCGATATGTTTAAATTTTTCTATCTCGTATATACCTAGCGCTCTCTCTCTCTCTCTCTTTTTACAGAACTTTAATTTCGTAAAAAAAATATCGATTTGTGATATTCTGTCATATTCATAATAGTATAGCGTGCCAATTTTTTGTCTTTCCCTTTTCCTCCTGAATCTTTTCCTTGAACCCACGCACGTGCCGCGGTCTGTTTATTGCGGATTGCGTTAGTCTTTTTGGTTTATTTCGCAAATGTGTTCGCCTCGTTTCTGAAACTTGTCCAAATTTAAATCTCGATGTTAGGTCACGGTCGTGCTATTTTTAACGCTGGCACGTCTATCCTACGATATGTTCGTGTAACTATAAGTGCTTAAAAATTCTTTTTTATCACGAATAAAATGAAACAAAATTCTTTCCAGTTGCAAATAAAGATTTATCGTTCGATAGCTATTTGTACAAGCTCTTAGCTCGTACACAAGATATGTATTCGTACATAACTATAATAGCGTCTTTATGAAAAAACTTAACACATGCACTCGATTAGAGTACAGCTTTCACAAATATGGCTCTGGCATAACAAGGAGTCATTATGTAAGAGGAGCAGATCTGTCAGCGTGTGCGAGTAAGCGCATTTTATGACAGAGCAGCTTATGTATTCGTCACTTTAAATGGCAATATTGAAAATCCATATTTGCGGCACGTCATAATGTGATTCATTTTCTTTTCTCGCTATAATTACATGCACTGTTGTTCTGTGTTTAATCTGTTCTAGAGGAATCTTTATTAGTAAACACTATTATCACGAAACTCAGAATTGTACGTCCGTGTTAAAAGCGGAAGAAAAAGTCATATTTAGAGAATAGGAATTACAAATTCTTTACATCCAAGTTTATAAATGCTCTACTTTAATTTAAATATTTCTGAAAAGTATTTATCGTATTTTATTTATAATGCACATATGTATATCGTAATTTAATTTTTTTCTTAAGGTGTAAACACTGCATATTTTAATTTTATTATAAATAATAATTGTCAACTGCGGGGCTTAAAAAAATAAGAAAACAACTTAAAGAGTGTTAAAGTCTCGATCTACCAAAATTGTCAATATATTATACATATTTAAGTCGCATTATATCATATTACATGCATCTTTTCTTCATTAGTTGACTTTTTCGTTAATTCGGAATGCATTTTTTTTTTCATAAGGGAAACATGCTGAAGTCTTACCCCGCTCGATATCCTATCAGCAGAGCTAACACTGGTACTCGAGTGATTCGTTTGACAGTGGATCAGGAAGCGGTTCTTCAAGAGCAGTTTAACAGATGGCCAAGAGCACCTCATACAGCGGACGTTGTACTCCTTGCAGCTGAAACAGGTCTTTCCGAGGCGGACGTTGAAGTGAGTAAACACTCGTATCAATTGCATACTATTGTATACGTTTAATAAATATGAGAAATAAGTGTAAGAGATATTTGAAACGAATCAAACGAGTGAAGTACATCGATAAAGATACGTTGCAACCTTTGGCTTTTGTTCTAGGGATGGTACGCTATCAGATTAGCTCAATGGCGGAAAGAACAGGGTCTCGGCGGGAATCTGGGCATACACTGATGATCGTATGAGAGCGCTCGCTATATACGCCAAATTCTCAATCTCGTCTCACTTTTGTACCTGAAATTCTTACATATATACGGGCAGATGTAATGGACCGATAGCAATTTATGAGAAAGAGAGAGAGAGAGAGAGAGAGCAATGTACTTCTTTTCCTTAAACTCGCTGATTTTAGACAGTTTAAATTTCATTGTATTCATAGAAGTATTATTTATTGTAAATGTAAATTTATTGTAAAACAGAAAAAATGACGTTCGTGCAGAAAATAAATTATTAATTGTACGAACGCGTAATGTATTTATGCGTAATATACTCAAAATATTGGAAATAATTGCAAAATTTCAACATTTTTTTAAGCAAGGAAAGATTGTAAACAATTATAAGAATGCTTTTCTTAATTAACATACTATCTTAACATGTAGTTTAGTTATATTTAGTTAAATTTGATGAAATAATAATTACACGAAAATAATTAAACAAGTAAATTTAATTGAAATATTAAATCTAATTACTTATTTATACTTACACATCCACATTGTAATTATGAAATAAGTAAACGAGCAGAAATAATGAAGCTAATATGAGAGAGAGAGAGAGAGAGAGAGAGAGAGAGAGAGAGAGAGAGAGGGAGAGAGAGAGAAAGGGGGGGGGGAGAAGGGAGAGAGAGGATGGAAAAACTTAAAATTTTAAAAGTAAAACGGGTCGCTTTTAAACGGTTATTAATACTAAAGGAAATTGGAGGTTTATTATACCAATGACCAGTCTATGTACAGAAATGTTTTATTCTTAAATTATGCACAAATTGCAATCAATACAAATGTATCTGAAACAAGCAAGTTGGGGGATATCTCAGTTTTTTGGCTGTCATAAGAATATTCAGATAAAATGACAGCTGTTTTGTTAGGTGTCGATATATTGCATCAACCGCCATGTGTTTTTGCAAAATTCATGAGACACGTCCGATTAGTTGTTGTCATATCCGGAAGAAGAAACAACTGTTTTAAATTGATAACGAATTTTTAATAATGTTGATAATCAATTTAAAACAATTGATCATATCTATTTTATAGCTTAGTATAGTAAAGCTAGTTTATTTGTTCAGACATCCACATTTCGACTAAGTAGTATTATAGTAATAAAGGTATGCGCTAAGTCTGCACTTTAGCTAGATATCATAAAACATGTATCATTCCTTCTCTGGCACATCATACATTGGTATTACTAAGTATACGTTTACTTTCTTTTTAAATCATGCGAAACAATGCAGAAACAAACTCGATATCGAATTCTAAAGTTTGATATAGTATGCTTAGACTGTAGTAAAGTAAAAAAAAAATTAAAAGAAAAGAAAAAAAGAGAGAAAAGAGAAAGAAAAGACTAAATTACGTGAAAAGTGTATTCGGAAATAAAAACCGACTCCTTGTGCACATCTGATCGTGTTAGATTTGAATAAGTCATTTTCGCAATCATCATGGTACTATTAATCAACACTCAGCTTTGAAACGTAAAAATCTAGTGTTGTTAAATAACTCTACTAATAATCGTAAATCAAAAACTCAATTTCCTCAAGTAAATAGAAAGGAACATCATTGGGAACGCCTTTGAACCAGAATTTCTTAGAGCTGCCGCCTACCATTGTTATTATTAACAACGGAAATCCACACACATTTTCCTGGTATCGCGTCGAGTTGCATCTTAGTTATGTCGCATTCGTTTCAGTTTTCATAATTATCTTCGATATATAGCGTATCAGAATAACGAGGTTACGTCGATATAAAATAATAAAGTATCAAAGCAACTAGATATATCTTTTACGTTAATACGGAACATTCATGAAAAGTACGTGGAACAATTTGCTGCCATTTGTTTTGATTATTACAAGCTAAACTAAATAAACTCGACATCATGGAATGATATCGGGACCACACTGCAAATATTGTATTATATGTAAGTACTGAGCGACATATCTAGATGAAAACTTATCCACAGCGATAATTGACGTACGAGCCGCGATTATCCAGCCTAATATTGGATCGTTAAACGTTAACGAGTGACCAAGGTGTACCGTACGGTACATCCGAAGCACTGCCACATAAGTTAGGAGCTTGGTATAAAAATGAGGCACAGTTTCACAATCAGGGAATCCTTCTTACCAAATGCTATCCTCTATCTCCCAATGAATGTATCCGTATATCAAACATGACAGTGTAATTACCATCATTAAACTAAACCATGCATGGATATTAATATGTGTCCTTAAATGTGTTTAAGGAGAATGACGATTTCTTAAACAACTGTCGTATTCTTATCGGTAGCAAACAGTCTTAACAACGAGCGTAGACTAATCATGTCGCGTTCCATAATCGTGTAGTCCTTGCGTCGGTATGCGTCATGTTACGTGCTGGGAGTTAATAGCTCTCATCAGGTGTAACGTAGCAACGTTAGTAGCAATTGGCGACAACGCAACGGTTGCTTAGCCACTGGTACCATTAACCAGAGCTTCTTTAGGCTTATTGCTCTGCTGCATACGAGGAGGACGAGACCGATGTTCTCTTTGGCCTTTAGGTCCTTGCGAACTGTTGTTAGACATGGATACGTCGTTCGCGGGTGTTCCTTCCTTGCTATTCATTGTTGATTGGTCGCACGGGCCGGCATTACTGCCTAAACAAATTTATAGATTAACTCTGAATGTTTTCGTATGTACAAGTGTGCGCGTCAGCCTATTGATCGAGCAATGGGAAATGGATATAATCTATTTCTTTGTACAACCGATCGTCCTAAAGAGACGCTCGCGCTAGCTTGATACTAAACGATAGACCTACCTGTCTGACTAGCACTCATTGGCGTTGAGCTTCGTTGCCGCGAACGCCGAAGTCGTCTTCGTCTTATTCCTTTAGTTCCTCCCTCCACACTTGATACTGACTCTATACAACACAAACCATTGTGACCATCTGTCTCAAACTCGCAATTGATATTTAAAGATAAACTTAACCATAAGATAGCAAAAGCTGCACTGCATACGTTAGTAGCATGCAACAGAATATATATTTATATCAATTTAATGATAACATTAGTGTTAGATGGTCACAAGAGTTTGCTCCGCATTTCATGCCAATCTTAAAGCATTCTAATACGCTTCACACATTGTTTGTCTTTAGGACGAAACGGTTAGAACGTTCATCAACACATATTCGCTCGCTTTTTCTCTTGTCACACATACACGTGCGCGCGCGCGCGTATTACCAATATTATTACCTCTATCAATGCTTGAAACATCTTGGCTGTCTAAAACAGTATCTTCGTCATCAGTAGTACGACGACGTTCGTCTCTACGATCTCTACGTTGGGTTGGAGGACGACCTTGTCTACCACTCATGTACCCTGAATTACCGGCTCCCTGATGACCACCTCTTGGCGGTAAATCTCGAACACGATCCTCACTACCGTCCAAAGTATCTCTACGTAATCCTGAAGAATGCCCGATTAATTGTTAGATTTTTAATTCATATAAATAATTATAATATTTCACTTGCATTTTATATCGTTTATTGACTAATTTAAATTATTAGATTTAGTTTTACATAAAAAAAAGGTCATAATGAAATCGAAACTAATAACATAATTTGCTCATCACACCTTTACAAAATTTAAATATTATATTATAAATTATTATTAAGTTTATCATTTTAATATTTTGATAATTAATAACTTGATTCTATTTGTGCTATAAAATTACCGGCATTGTGTCTAGTAGGAGCTCTACCCCGAGATCCGCGCCCTCGAGACTGACCACCGCGACCTCCACGACCGCTGATACCTTCTTCAGGTCCTGTAACCATTCCTCGTCTTGTGGGAGGAAAACTGGGTATCGGCCCTGTAGTCGATCCGTGCATGCTTCGTAGTTGTTGATCAATTTCTAATTTTTCTTGTCGCAGTTGTTCTACTTCCTACATAAATTATACGAGTAGATCAAATTCCACGATCAATTCGCAATTTATTTTGCAATTCCTTTCTGGGATATCGGTTTTATATAAAATGTTTCAGAGAGGATCAGTGCAATTAACATACATTACCTTTAAATGTGCCAAATGGTATTCCAACAGAACTTTGGCATTGGCGATGCTTTCGACAGTGCCAACAAAGACAAAGGGCACCTGACCTTCCTCTCGCGGAATCGTTGGTTGAGGTTCGTTGTCTCCTTCTATTTTTACTCTTACCTGAAATATGTAGTTATTAAAATTGCGCTATTAAAGTACTTAATGATACGGATTATTAGTATGAGACGCTTAAAATCGTATTTCATATCCATACCATCAGTTTTCAGTCACTGGCGTTTGTCATTTCCACCAATACACTTGTCGATCAGTCTGCGAAAATTTGCTTAAATATTCTTTACACCCTTTATACTCCCAAAAGGATTTGTTTTTCAGTAAAAAAATTATTTCTCGATACTTTTACCTTTTTTTAAACATCATCTTTTAGATAATATGTATCTTCTCACAATCACTATATATCACGAGATCATTATATCAAACAATTGTATCGTGGCAATTATATCGTGTATTTATAATCACAGCTTTTTTTTCCTTTAGATATAATTGTAAATTTAAAGATTTTTATTATTTGATTTTCTTTTTTTAAATAACAATAATTTCAGCTTATTTATATATCATTAAAAAATAATCTTTTGTTCTATAATTTAATAGTTATAATATATCTTGTACACGAAAAACTGATTAACAGAAGATTTAATTTCTGTAGAAAACAAAAGAAAAAAATATTCGCATATATACGTACATTAAATCTATCTGATTCCTTACGCATGATACAAGTATTCAATATGCTATAGCAATAAAAAGTTTTCATCACACAAAATATTCTTGTTACTTATGAAACATTATGTAGTTTATTTCCAATTATTAACAAGTTTTCCACAAATCAGATTGTAAAAGCATAATATCTGAAATGATATTCTTTTTAAAATATAATTGACGACAAAAAACAAATGCATGGACATGGAACGACTTATGCATCTAGTTACTGTTTGCAATGCACATGTGCATTAAAAGGTCCATATACACAATGCACACTTAGCATTAAATGTAGTCATGTAATTATCAATCAACCATGATAATACTGAATGCAACTTTGATATTTGATAAACAGCGCATTCGGAATAAGACAGTCACATTTAGTGCTAAATGTGAAGCATGAGTATAGGCCTGATTATACAAACAAAATAGTTATTATTTCTTTTAATACGATTTAAAGGTACTGGCCCGAGTGGTTCATGTAAGATTTGCAAGTGCTTCCATATGAATGTATATATATATATATATGAATGATTGACTAAACTTGGATGGAATAAAATCACAAACAATAGGAAATGACATACTTACTTTATCAATATGTATATTCCCACTCGAGCCAGTTGTTATCTACCGAGAACAGACAAGGCATATGTCATATATAACCTAATCCCTCGTAAGTTATAACTTCCATTTTCAATTGAATGCTATATTTTAAATTTTGATTACAGAATCTTTAATCATAGACATTGTTAACGATGTCTGCGTATGTTGCAAAAGAGAGGCTATAAAACGCGTGTTGATAATTTCAGACGATTGCTACATACCCTGAGAGATAAACATGTATATCAGTAGATGTAGACGATCTGTAAAGTATTATATGTAATCTAGGTACTAAATTTGGGAGTTTTAACAAAATCATACTGTATCAACTGAAAATGAAAATTGATATACTTATATAATATCGTAATGATATTCTTAAACATCATTACTTGAGAAAAAACAGTCCCTACCTGAAAGATCTTAATTCTGAAATATCTATAAAAATATAGTCATGTTAAGTTCTATTAAATAATGATAAAGATATACTTACTACACCACTCTTGTCGACAATTTCTTGGATAATGCGACCATTCTTCCCAATTACTTTTCCTACCAATACCCGTGGGACTTGTATAGATTCCTCGCTATATTCCAGCATAGATCGAGCTTTTTTAACAGCTTCATGCGTCTATGATTAAGAAAGATACATGATAAATTTTATATTTACTCAATATATTATAAGAAAATATAGGACAATGTATAGATACATTTTATATTTAATTAGATAAAAACAATCCGAGCAAATCTTTCTAATATATTTTTAGAAACATACAAGCAATATAATAATATTTTTATTGTTACCTCTCCATATATCTTAAATGTGCATGAATTTTCTTCTAACTCTATATTTGTAATGCCATCAACTTTTCGCGCTTGCTGGATATTTGCACCGTGAGCACCAATAGCTAGTCCCATCAGATCTTCTCGAACATTAAATTCGTCGGTATATCTAAAAAAAAAAGGTGAAATAATGTAAATTATATATTCTACATTCTTTATACATAATCTTGTTTAAAATAAAGTTTTAAAAAATTTAAATAAATTAAAATGAAGAAAAAAAACTAAAATAAAATATTGCATCTTTTTTACTTCCTTCCAACTCTCTCTCTCTCTCTCTCTCTCTCTCTCTCTCTCTCTCTCTCT